CGGGGGCGCCCGGCCGCTGAGCCCGGGGGCGGCCGGGACGGGACCTCTGGAGCTGCCACGCTGAACACGCCAGAGAGATCTGCAGAATGTCTCTCAAAATACGGAGGATCAGCTGCAGACAGCTAAATGAACTTATTTTCTGATTTTGTGTGGCTGCTATTTTTAACACTATTTTAACGATATTTTAGATGTTTTCATCAAAATATTTCTCGTTTACAGACAGACCCTCTCCCAGTGACAAAAATCTCTGTGCCAAAGTTCTTGACCAGCCCCAACATGGGGAAATGGCACGCAGCAGGCAGCGGTTGGGGCAGAGCCCAGACTGGAGCTCGGAGAGGGATCCCGTGGGACCCGTGCGCTGGTCCGGCTCCGTGTCTGCCGCGCAGCAGCGGTGGGCTGGGGGTCCCCGGGGAGTCACCCCGCTGGCCGTGGGGGGAGGGAGCCGACTGTGTGGGCTGCGCGTTTCTGAGTCGCCTCCTCAGAAGCATTCCCGTTCCGTGAAACTTCCCGTTCCGTGAAACTTCCCGTCCCTTCCCCGTGGAGGCCGACGGCAGAAGGGAACCGCTGCGGGGGGCTCAGCCCCTGTGTGCCGGGGCAGGACGCTGGCTGATGGCCCCCAGGAGCCCCCACAGTGGGGTTCCACCATCTGCGGACTTGTCTGGGAGTCACTAGCCTAGGAGAAGCTTGTAAAACATTGGCAAATTCTAAATATAATTTTCTGTCATATAATGGATTTTTTTTTTTTGGTCCAATTATAGGCCCTGATAATACAAATAAATGGGACTATCCCGAACCTGAATGGAACAAACATCTCGTGTGACTATGGAAATAATATCCACACGGTAGCCAGAGTTGTTGGAGATTACGCAAACCAGTTTATTTATTGCAGTTTACTTCCACGCGAGAAATATCCAGCGTTTCCAGACGACCAAGGTATGTAGAGGAAAACAAGCTCGGTTCATTCTAACTGCTTTTGTGGACATGATTCTTCATGGGCCTTTTTTTCTTTTTCCAATTGTACGTGGAGATGCACGCAGCGGGAAAATACCCAAACTGCTTCTGCCTTACAGGGTGTAAGACTTTAAAGCGTGGGGAGTCCCACCGTCTTAACATGAATTCAAATCTAACAATTTTTGTCTTAAACATCAGATTTTAAAAGCGGGTTCATGTACTTATTTCATTAAGATTTATCTGGTTAGAGCTTCTGTTTTAGATTTAATAAGTACTAAACCAAAAATGTTTTAGCCCACAGGAAATAACGTTGCTTCTTATATTGATATTTTCAATTGCTTGTGTTTAATTTCCCTCCCAAACATGCGCCGCGTTTCGGAAGTTCTGGAAGAAGAGTGAGTGCTTAGCTAAAGGCAGCTCAGAAAGTCTTAATCCCATTAATCAATTAAAAGCCAGACTGAGGTCTTCTAGTATGCCCCAGTTTTCAGATGGTCCCAAACAGGATGCCCACCTCAAGGCTCTGTGAAGCCGCGTTCCGGAGGTGACCAGCACCTGCAGGTCTGGTTGAAGCCAGCCGAGCCTTGCTGGCCGAGCTGACCGAATCTGACACTGGTCACTTGCGATGGAGACGGCCCCATTTTCTGACTCCTTCTGAGAGCTTCCATGCTTCATTCCAGACTTGAGTGCTTGTTAAATCTTCATCTTTCAAGCCTGGAGTGAATGCTCTATTGAAGATGACTGACTGCAGTAGGAGAATTAGCCAATCCTTTGAAAATCCTACTTTTCATAGGCAAGTTTATAAAGCTGCATTGTTTTTCTCCCTGGCTATCCAAAGAATGGGAGATCATTAACTGTTCCGTATTGTTGGTTACAGCAATGTCCAAATGAATTTCTGGAATCCAGTGCGCTGATTTATTGTACATATTCTGAAAGAAGCATTGTCTCTTGTCCCTGGTGGTTATATGGCAAAATCGCAAAGAAAAAAAAAATTAAGCAATTTTGGGGGGAGGGGGAGTTAGCACAGCATGTTAAGTAGCCAGAAAAGGGATTTCCACTCTTCTCTGCGGGTTTGTTGTCATGGGGAAAGTGAGCGGGGTTTTAAAACATGATAACTAACATGTTTTAATTAACACTTCTTTTAAAAATATCATTTAGCACCAACTGTAAGCGAAGACAATAATTAACTCTGCTAATTAACACTTGCACAACACGCTGGAACTTTCTGCTGAAATTCGCAATGTCCTTTTCTGGTGAGGGTGATGTAAAGCGTTGATTTAAGAGGGAAGAGCTGGAAGTCAGAGGGCAAGAGATGAGTGGTCCAGGCTCTGAAATGCAGCTTGGAGGAAGCCCTGGAGAAAAGAAATCAGATTTAGCCCTTGTTTTCCCAAGGGTCTGTCTTGTCTTCTAAGCGTGAGCGCGAGCGAGAGGCTCTTGCAACCCAATATTCTTTGGCTTGATTCTTTCAGACCACGTGGTCGTCGAAGCCGCTCTCCGGGTCAACAGCAAAAACATTATCCGGGCCAATTTCACCATCTACGATTGCAAAAGAACTGGAAACATTTACCCGAAGAGAGCGTAAGTGACCCCGGCGTGCCAGCGGGCGCGGGGCGCGATGGGGGTGGTGCTGCGCTACCGCACGGCGCTGGGCGATGGAGCAGATGGGGCGGTTGGCAGCCGGGAGGGCGCACAGCCCAACGAGGGTCCCCGTGCCAAAGCCAGCGGGTGCTGGGGGGCCCGGGCAGGATTTGGCAGGGGTGCAGCGGCTGCGCTGCCAGGGATTTACAAAGGAGGGTCCTCGCGGCATCTCGAGCCATCTGGACGTGTTGAGTTTTTTTAAAATGTGAATAATATTTTTATATGAAGCTTCTTCTGTTAACCCTTAGGCAGCGAGGCGGCCTCCCCGGTGATGCGTGGGGAGCCTGTGGGGCGGTGAGGGAGGGATCCCTGCCCTGGGTGGGGGCAGCT